AGAGAAAGAAAGAAAGAGGGAGGGAAGAGGGAGGGAAGAAAGAAAGAAAGAAAGAAAGAAAGAAAGAAATAAAAAGAAAGAAAGAAAGAAAGAAAGAAAGAAAGAAAGAAAGAAAGAAGGTAAGGGGGAGGAAGGAAGGAAAATAGAAAGAAAAGAAGAACTAAATAATATGTGCTTCTTTGCAGAATATGGAATATTGCAATCGCAAGTGCTGGTAGTTTCTTCCTCCCCCTCTGACGCCCCCCCCCCTCTTTTCTTGTTCTTTTCTTGGCCCTTTTAAGTAGGTGAGTGATTGCATTAATTTCTTCCTTTTACCTTTTAGAAACGCTGCCAAATCATTGCTCTTATCTTCATTGATTTTGCCTTCCAGAGAAGAAAGTGTCTGGCTCACGTCTCTCATGACGACTGAAATGTTGTCAACCTTCTTCTGTAGCAAAGTCAGTTTCATTTCCTGGCTGCTAATCTGTTCATTCACTTTTTGTGCAACTGCTATATTGGGGGGTGGGGAGAAGGAGAGAAATAGAAAGGAATGCAATAAAAGCATTTTTACTGCAAGGAAAAACATGGATCCACCAAAATGGAACCCTCAGCCTGTTGTCAGAAAGAGGGCGGAAAGTTTCTTCACACACTCAAGTGAGTTTTCCGTTTTGATTTTTGTCACGCATCTTGGGCGACATACATTTCTACAAGCTACAGTCGCCAAGAATGGCTGAATGATCCATATTCATTATAGGGTAGTTATAATTCCAGGAGAGTCTATTAAACAGTTAACAGAAATTTAATGAGCGTAAGTGGAGTCGTTGTCTACCTAGTCAATTGCTTTTTTTACTGTTTCAATAAATCCACTATATACTCTATGCGATCGGTCCTATGCAGAATTTAACAGCCGTTGCGCTAATACGAATTTGCAGTGCAAAAATTAAATTGCACTTCAGCAATATATGGCTCCTTTAGCAATGGACGCTGCAATCCACTTTCCCTGGGAATGATATTATTTATTTTTTATTTGTTTATGAAACTTGTATGCCTCTCGTGTCATCCAAGCAGGGGTGGGCTGCTGGCGGTTTGCACCGGTTCAGGCGATCTTCTAGTTAGGATTCTGTCCAATTTGGTGAACTCCCAAATGCCCCCCTGGCTGGCCACGCCCATCCCACCCAGTCCTGCCTGTCCCAGGAGTCTCCATGCGAAACCGTTGCTGCAATTTTTGAAGCTCACCCCTACATCCAAGGCAATTCAAAGGGCTTTACAAACATTAAATAAAATATAGTGTAAAACATTAAAACAATAAACATTTCCTGTCCAAAATATCTAAAGAATACAAGCTTGGATCAAGCCTCAGCCACCCCCTTCCTTAAAATATCCACCCAAATTGAAATAGAACATCCTCCCCACCCCGAAGAACAAAAATGCCCTTTCCCTCCCCCAAAATTGATCTCCGCCCCTTTTGTTGACATCAATCATTACTTGTGGCCTCCTAAACACCATTCAGAATATGGATCCTGAAATGCATCCTTTTATCTTGAAACACTCCGTAATGCAACCTACAGAGCTTATTTCCTTCCTTTATTATATTGGCTCTCAATGAAACAATGACGGCACCCATCTACTACTGTTATTGCATAATAACGCCTTCTATAGGGGAGCCAAAAAATTAAGGAAGATGCCAGCAGTGGTTGACTTGCTTTGCAGCATGCCAGCTACCTATTCGGTTTTTAAAAATTGAAACAAGCTTTGTGTGTGTGGGGGAGTCAGGTATAAGGAAGATGTCTGCAGATACGCTTCAATCCAAAATAAACCTTGAAATAAACTACCGTATTTTTGGAGTATAAGACGCACCTTTTTCCCTCAAAAAAGTGTGTGAAAATCTGGGTGCGTCTTATAGAGGGTGAAAATCTGGGTGTGTCTTATAGACTGAATACAGCATTTTTTCCTTCCAAAACCCCGCCCCCTTTGCAAAAATGGCCGTGCATAGCCTTTAGGAGGCTTCCAGAGTGCTCCGGGGGTCTGGGGGGGGGGCAAAAATGAGTGACAAAAGGGGCAATTTTTGCTTGTTTT